AGCGATCTGATTGGCTGACACTTTCGTCGGCACTTGAAAAGTTGAGCTAGTCCCAACTTCTGCAGCAAGCAACGCCTCTGAAGCGGCGCCAACGGATCCACAATGCAGTTCGGCAACGCCTGACGTCACCCATTCAAAGTGAATGGGAAGCGTTGACGCTGACACCCCCTGTGAATGGGGCGTAAGTCTAAACATAGTAGTCTTGCCTAAAACAAGTCTAAATTTGGACTGTCAGTAAAAATCTAATAGACATCTAAGAATAGGCCAAAACTAGACTAGTCATCATAATCGTAAATCGCAATATATGTCAAAAAAATTGCAATAACACATTTTTCTGAAAATCGAGCAGCCCTAGTCTAAACATAGTCGTCTTGCCTAAAACAAGGCTAAATTCAGACTGACAGTGAAATTCTAAGACGAATAACAATAGCCCAAAACTAGACTAGTCATCAAATAAACAAAAATGAATGACTACACATATAAAGTCTGTCTAATCTGCCTATTTGACGACTAGTCTAGTTTTTGGACTATTCTTACATGTCTATTAGATTTTCACTGCCTTGCCTACGTTTCAATGTCTATTAGACATCTATCAAACACACAATTGTTTGCTGGCAGCCTTCAATAACAATTCATGTCTTTGAATGACTTACTGTAACACTGATTTATTATTCTTTTTATTTTAAGAAACAAGCGATGGGCCAAACATTTTATCTGTTGTTACTTACATACTGTCTTAACGCTTAACTGAACTTGGGTAACACTTAATTTTGACGGTCCACTTGAGTATTAGTTGACTGTTTGCTAAATATCTGTTAATACTGCTCATTCAATAGACATTTAACTGACTGTAAGAAACTTTGCAAGTACATGTGAACTTGCACTAACCTTAACCGCACTCGGTCTACTTATAATCTAACGAAAATTAGTTGGCATGTAGATCCAATGTAACTTAAATTCAACAAACAAACCATCAAAATAAAATGTGACCTGAACTTGTACTGAACTTTGTACTTGACTTGCTCCTTTAAGGATGAAGATGGGGCTTATAAAACAATATCAACCAGTAATTCTGTCTGACTGTAGTTCATTTTAAAATCAGGACAAGAATGTTGTTCCGGGACAATCAAAACACGTTAATCCAGGAGCACATAGTACTTGATGAAACCACAGAAACCAGTACAGTGCTTTAACTGCATGACAAACCCACATGAAAACAACACGTACATTTGTTTTCTCTACTCACAATTAAGGACTTAAAGATAAAAAGCACTTGTGTTCACATCTCTAATTTGACATCATACAACACAGTTTTATTTTCTCCTGTTTATGTTACATTGGGCTAATTTATCAGAGGTTCGAAATCATGTTGTATCACTTTGGAATAAATATTATAAACAATAGTGGTACAATGCAGCTGATAAAGTTATGTATCAAGGGGGAAGTGCTGCTAAAAATATTTCCTTACTTAGACTTTTTGTCGTTTCTTGCCCAAATATCTAAAAATTCTTAAATCAACTAGGAGAGCAAAATGTTATGTTGTAATGTCTTGTTTTATTGTCACACTTCAAGAAGTGTGTTTATCCAGCCTGATCTCACGAGAAAACAAAAGTATTTTACGTTTTGCCAGTTTAGTGGCTAATTCGTACGAATTCATTCATTCATTTTCTTGTTGGCTTAGTCCCTTAATAATCTTGGTTCGCCACAGCGGAATGAACCGCCAACTTATCCAGCAAGTTTTTACGCAGCGGATGCCCTTCCGGCCACAACCCATCTCTGGGAAACATCCACACACACACACAGTACAGTCAATTTAGCCTACCCAATTCACCTGTACTGCATTTCTTTGGACTGTGGGGGAAACCGGAGCACCCGGAGGAATCCCATGCGAAGGCAGGGAGAACATGCAAACTCCACACAGAAACGCCAACTGAGCCGAGGTTCGAACCAGGGACCCAGTGACCTTCTTGCTATGAGGCGACAGCACTACCTACTGCGCCACTGCCTCGCCTAGTACGAGCTCAGTCGTACGAAATTGTACTGTTTTAAAAAGAAGGCGTGGCACCTGACCCCACCCCTAAACCCAACCATCATTGGGGGATGAGCAAATCGTTCTAAAATGTACGAATTAGATCATACGAATTCGTACGAATTAGCCACTAAATGAAAAAGTTACGAATTGCTGTGAGATTGTTTTTTTTTCACACAATTTTTTTTTTAAAACAAGCAAAATAATCTGCCAATGAGGTAAGCAAAATAATATTATGTCAAAAGGAAAAACAAGATTATTTTGCTTACCCCATTAGCAGATTATTTAGCTTGTTTTAAAGGAAAACTAAATTAATTTTGGCTTATTATTTTTAACAAGACATGTTTTGCTTGCCTAATACTTCTTGATATAAGAATTTTTAGATATTTGGGCTAGAAAGAAGACAAAAATCTAAGTAAGAAAGCATTTTTTTTTGCAGGGTAGCCATTGTCACTAGTTGTCATTTCTAGCCTCCTCTGAAAGGAACTGAAAACAACAGCTCTCAACCCGACGGTTTGTGAAAGCGTACAGAACAACACCTGCAAAATCAGAAGATAAACCTGCAATCTTTGGTAAGAAAGTAAACCAGCAATTTGGCCCAGTCATTTTATTCACTTCTAATTAAACAACTGCCCGTGGTTCCTCAGCGTTTCTGGGCATACCTTAGCATTTGGAGTAAAAGAAGCACCTGGGATTTTTGTGAATGTCACAGAGGATCATTTTAAATGCTAATCGCCTCATTGGCAAGGATGTTGCTAGACTGATTGCTGCTAAAAGTAGCCATTGTCAATATTCAGGCATTTGCATTTGAGCTGAAATGCAGTTTGATACACAGAGGTTATTAATTTTTGGAGCTTAATAAAAAATATAGCTGAATATTTCCATAGCAGCAGTATGAAGAACGGGTATCTGACAGCCGGGTGAGTAAACAAGAGTCATTTGGAAAATCCCCTGGAGCGCATGTCCAGTTTTAGACAAATATGTGTGCTGAAGTCTGTTTTCATCTAGTCTCTCTGTCCAACTCATCCAAGCTGTGTAAAAATTCACTGTATGCAAATTCCAATGTGGAGTCGAACATACAGAATGATGGAAGAACATACAGAAAAAAGGAGAATAGTACTCTCTTAGAAATAAAGGTACACGAGCGGTCACTGGGGTGGCACCTTTCAAACCCTGCTGAAAAATCCAGCTTGAACCAGTATAGGATGGTTGGCTGGTTTTAACTGGTCGACCAGCCTGGTTTTAAAGGGGTTTTGGCCACTTCCAGGCTGGTTTCCAGCCATTTTCAGCCTGGTCTTAACTGGTCAGGCTGTAAAGTGACCAGCTTAAACCATCTAAAACCAGCTTGACCATTCTGGTTTAAGCTGGACATAGCTGGTTTTGGCTGGGCTCCCATTCTGGCTAGGCTGGTCAAGCTGGTTTTAGCTGGTCATCTCCCAGCCTGTCCAGCTAAAACCAAACCCCTCTAAAACCAGGCTGGTCGATCAGCTTAAACCAGCCAACCATGCTAGGCTGGTTTAAGCTGGATTTTTCAGCAGGAAAAGGTACACATTTGTACCTAAAGGCTCCATATTGGTATCTAAAAAGTATATATTAGTACCTACAAATTTTAAGAGGAACACTTTTGTATTTTTTAGCTACTAATATAGAACCTTGAGGTATTAATATGGACCTTTTAGGTACAAATTTGAACCTTTTCAGAAGGTACCACCCCAGTGAAAACTTGCATGCCTTTATTTCTGAGCGTGTAGGGTAAAAGACAAGGAGGCTGGCAAAGACTGCTGAGCAAGACGTCCTTAGTATTTTGGCACAGGGTATAAATGAAGGCAAACCATGAGAGATTTTCTCTCTTACGACTGTATACGGTCAACAAAAAAGGGCAAGCTAATCTTAAAGCTACCATCGTTGATTTATAGGAATCACGTTGGTTTCGTTTCTATCTTGCTTACATTCTTTCCTATTGTACTCTGAGAACATGTCAGTTCGTTCATATCCTGATGTTCAAGGGAAGTTCTCGCTACAGGGAAGGCCCTGGAATTAACTTAGATCAAGGGCAGTTGCATAACAAAACAGCTCAACAAATTATTATAAGTGGGACGGCAGTTTATATGTCACCTATTCAGTAGGACAATGAAATACCAAGCTAAAAGGCGAATGTACCCACGGATGTAACACACATTGGTAATCATACAGTACACCCGCTCATTGGACAGCTGACATAACAGTTCAGGGGCTGGGTTTTGGACAATAACTATGCATGATGCGAAATGGTTTTCATCCTGGATATGCTTTGAAGCGCCTTCTTATCATGTTTTCAAAAAGGTCACAACATCTTTCTGGGTGGCTGGACGGAAGCATTGCATAAGATACAGTCATTACAGTTTTCCGTTGTACATTAGCTGAATTTCACATGTCCCAAAGCAAAGTTCATCCACATAGATTTGGCAAAAGAAACCGTTTAAAGGCAGCCGTGGTGCCTGAAAGTACATTTAGAGTGGATGGAATCGAGAAAGGAAAAGCGGAGCAAGGATTCACGTTTAAAAGCATAACCGTAAACTGGTAGATCTCCTGGGGGAGATCCATGGGGTTTAAAATAAACCAATTTCCCCCTTAAAGCTTTCGACAATCGAAGTGAAAGTAATGACCGGTGAGATTACTAATGGGATTGTAATTTCTGTGCTGTGACAACTGATGGGTAGGCAGTAAGGAAGGGCTTGGGTAAGGAAGGAGTCGTTGACATCAACATGTTAAAAATTACATCCAACTATCATGGTCACTTCCACAGCTGATAATAAATCACATAGCAGAACAATCCACTGCTCTCCAACATCTTTGACATCACACCAATGCACACATAGAAGACTGGGTTGAAAAATGGCTACTGCTCTCAAGTCACATTATGGGGTAGTTTGCACGTACAATTTCACAACTAGCAGCGTAAGGAGATGTTGACTCAGCCAACTCTGATAAATGGTGAAAAATTTAAACAACGCTATGTACATTTTATTGTCGACAGAGTAGACACGACCAAATTTCTCTACTTGTGAGCCGTTAAAGTGAACTCACCTACAAGATATTTTACTAGAGACCTAACTCTTGTCTTTATATTAACAACAGTATAGTTCAAGCACACATGCGTGCATATGTATACACATGTATGCATATGCACGCATCGTTTGTTCGCATTACTTTCCGTAGATGTTTTGCAACAACTGACCTGTTAATGTCAATAATAAATGCTGTGAAAATTTTGCAGATAGTTATCCAGCATAAAGTGCCTTCGATTGGAACATTCTTTTGTTTTCCACAAGTTTCGTTAAGTCCAAAAATTGTTATTAAGGTCCTCAGTGAAGCTTTTGGATTCTGTACTGTATATAAACAAGGATTCCTTGCTGGAGTCAGATCTCACCCGCTGCTCAGCAGGGTATGGATTTGTGCTGTCCGTTTTGTGTAATGGGGTTGATCTTTTCTAGTGAGACGTCCGCATCACTATCCAAAGTGCCTGACATGGAAGGTGACAGTTTATCAAAGGTCTTTATGCCAGAGTCGTCCTCCTTCTTCTGGTTCTCCTCCTCTTGGCATATGATACTGTGAGGGATCTCATAGTTGCTGTTGTTGCCCTCCTTGGGAATGTGGCCCTTAGGCTGATACTGAGAAGTAGACGGAGGGCCACAGTTGTTGTTGATACTCACAATCTCTATAGCGCTGCTGCCCGGGCAGAGCCGATGGCAGCCCAGCAAGATGGAGAATGCCTTTCGGAAGTCAGCATTGAAGGCATAGATGATGGGGTTGAGTGATGAGTTCGCCCAACCGAACCAAACAAACACATCAAATGTGGTGGAACTGATGCACAAGAAGTCAGTGCTCTCGTTTGGGTTGCAGAAAGGAACCATGCAGTTTAAAACAAAAAAGGGCAGCCAGCAGCACACGAAAACACCCATGATGACCGAGAGGGTCTTGAGAACTTTGGTTTCACGTTTGAAAGACATCTTAAAAGAACTTTCAGATTCCATACTGGCATTGTTTCCCATGCTACTGTGGCGGTTCTTTGCGCTCTCAGCAGCTCTTTCTAGCGCCGAGATCCGACGTATCTGCTTCTGGGCAATGCGGTAGATGCGGGTGTAAGTGACCAGCATAATGGCCACAGGTATGTAAAAACTAATCAGCGAGGAGGAGATGGCGTATGTCCGATTAAGGCTGGAGTCGCAGTTATCTGGGGGAAGTTCGCCATAGGTACCGTTAAGCTCTGTATAACTAGTCGTCTGGGCTTTGTGCCAATTTAGCTGCACAGGGATGAAGGAGATAAGGATGGACAGCGTCCATGCCACGCTTATCATGATGAACGCCACCTTTGGTGTCATCTTTCGCTCATAGCGAAACGGGCTTGAAATGGCCCAGTAGCGGTCCACACTGATGACGCACAGATTCAAGATGGAGGCAGTGGAACACATGATGTCAAAGGCCACCCAAACATCGCAGAAGGCGCCGAACGGCCAAAAACCTACAATCTCCGTGGCGGCTTTCCATGGCATCACCAAAATGGCCACAAGCAAGTCAGAAATAGCCAGTGATATAACAAAGAAGTTGGTGACTTTAGAGCGCAGATGGCGAAACTTTGTGACTGCAGCACAGACCAACGTGTTTCCCAGTAAGGTGGTCAGAATGAGGAGTGAGAGGAAACAACCAGTCAAAACTCGCTTTGATGAATCGCGCTGCGACACACTGCTGTCCAGGACTGTGGAGTAATTCACATCCATGGCTTTTCACCGAGTCGAGTTAGCAGTCACCCCATAATTCCAGACCAAACTAAGAGTGCTTACACGTGAATCGGAGCAACTGGTTGATCTGGTTTGTCCGTAGTTATGCTGACTGCTGGAGTCATCTTGCAAAGCACATATCATATTTTCAATGTTAAAATCTCTCGAGGAGCTCAAAAATGGATCCATGTACTCCCACAGACCTTCCCCGTGAACATATGACCAAAGGAAGAAAAAAAGACATACATTTAGTAATCATCTGGTAAGCATTTAATATAGTTTATAAATAGATAATGCTGTATAATTAAGACTCTTTCGTCTCTCAATACCTTGTCAGCAGTTTGTTCACCGTCCCACAGCATACTCTCCGAAAGAGGTTAAGCAAACATAGGCAGGCGTGATGATTAGCCTTATATATAAGCTCATCGATACTGTATTGATTGGATTGTCGCTGTGTTGGTCTGATTTGTCCCCGTTAATGACAGCAGAAGCGCGTCCGTGTCATGTTGTTCACAAAGCAGACTCGACTCCAGAGAGAGAACGGATGACAGTTCGCTTTGAGAAACGAGAGGCTCGCATTTTACATTGTTTCTGTCGAGCAGGATTTCTTCGCTTATTTAATCAACAAAGTACTGTGTTCCTTTGCGTTGCGTTCCTGTGTACATCCAGATCGCGTCGCTTTCAGCGCATCCCGAATCGCATCCGCTGCAAACGCACGAGAATCAACAGTAAAGTCACACAGGCGCGCTTCTCATGTTTCTGGCGTCCGATTTTGTCATCCGATTAGTCTGAAGAAAAATATCATCCTTGAATAAGTTTTCCATAAAAGTGATTTAAACGCGTTCGCATCAGTCCGGAAAGGATGCTGTTGTCCCGTGCACTTCATGTAGAATTACAGCTCATACTCACTCGTCCTGTCGCGCATATCACATGTGCATTAGCAGTTGCAATGGAGCGTGCATACTCGTGGAGTGTCAACTCTGCATTGCATTACTATAAAACAGAAAAACTGCATCATTCTTAATAAAGAAAAATAATTTAAATAGAAAATAAAGCAAAATGAAAGGCTATTTCAGCACATCTGCAATTCCTTAGCATATTTGCAAATAGGCTTGTACATCTTCGTGTTTATTTTATTTTTTTTTTTTTTTTTGTCTGTGCAATAGTTTGCATGAGTTTTTCAGCAAGCTTGCGGTCTTCTTTTCTAGAAGAGAAGCAGAGAAGCTCTGACAGGTCTCAAGTTATGGCAAGCCGTTTTAACATACTTCTTCAAACTAAGAATGCTAAGCAATCCAGCTTTGGCTGGTGTATTTTCTATTTATAATACTATCACTAGCTGCTATTCAACAAACATCAGTACTTAATCCATATAATGAGTTCATGATGACAGCAATTCTAAATAGCATACATTTCTGAATGTATATGAAATATTGTGCACACGTATGAAAGAATTAATATGGCTTGCCATGCCTTTTGAGGAGCGCATTGCATCCAGAACCATCACAAATTGATTATTGGAATGTTCACGGGCATTTAATTTTTCTTAGCTGCAAAATCATTACCCATCCACCATGCATCAATTTCATTACTGCTTTAAGGGTTATAAATTAAAACAGCACCATCATCAACATATTATTTGCTTTTTATAACATGCAATTTCATTCAGAAAAAAAAAACTAAAAACTGGAGCAAGAACGGGTTATTTTAAGAAACACAAGGCTTAGCGGATTTTGCATACGGAATGGCTCAATGGGGCCATCTGCTGGATCAGACTATAAATGTGAATTAGTATGACGCCAGCCAAAACAGTAAAATTGCAAAATTGTTGCCGACTATTTATTTGGGCTGAACTTAAACATACATATTAAATGTAGTCATGTTAAACTTAATTTGTTTGTTTAAATTCAGGCCAAATAAATTGTTTACAACCACTTACCTTAAAAATATTTAGTAAATCCAATGAATTATCTTTGAATATTTTTTTCAGTGTATTTTAATGTTAAAAAAGTAACAATTAATAACACAATATAATAAATAATAAACATAAATGCAACATTAACTATGCATATTGAATTTTATTTCTGCAATAAAAAACTTCATAAGTCATTTTAAAATTTGCTGCTCAGTTATCAATTACTAATGGTTCTGAATTATTAACAATTTTATTAGTCTTCTTATTACTAATTTTAAACACTGACAATAATGAAGAAAATATCCAAGTAGCAAATCGGCACGCTGTATTAGAATGTTTTCTGTGTGTACTGACTGGATCACTGTTACATACTCACTGGCCACTTTATTAGGTACAACTACTAGTATCCGGTTGGACCCACTTTTGTTATCAGAGCTATTAGAATCCTTTGTGGCATAGATTCAACAAGGTACTGAAAATAATCCTCAAGAGATTTTGGTCCATATTGACATTACAGCATCATGAAGTTGCTGCAGACTTGTCAGCTGCACATTCAGGATCTGCCGTTCCACCACATCCTAAATGTGTACTATATGTCTATATTTGTCTATATTCACCACACCATTACACCACCACCACCTGGCTGAACCGTTGATACAAGGCAGGATGGATCCATGTTTTCATGGTGTTGATGCCAAATTCTGACCATACCATCCAAATGTCGCAGCAGAAATCGAGACTCATCAGACCAATGATGAGTGCAATCTTCTATAGTCTAATTTTGGTGAGCCTGTGTGAATTGTAGCCTCAGTTTCCTGTTCTTAGCTGACAGAAGTGGCACCCGGTGTGGTCTTCTGCTGCTGTAGCCCATCTGCCTCAAAGTTGGACGTGTTGTGTGTTCAGAGATGCTCTTCTGCATACCTCAGTTGTAACGAGTGGTTATTTGAGTTACTGTTGCCTTTCTATCAGCTGGAGCCAGTCTGGCCATTCTCCTCTGACCTCTGGCATCAACAAGGCATTTGCGTCCACAGAACTGCTGTTCACTGGATATTTTCTCTTTTTCAAACCATTCTCTGTAACCATAGAGATGGTTGTGCATGAATATCCTAAATACTCTGAAAATTTCTGAAATACTCAGACCAGCCCATCTGGCACCAACAACCATGACACGTTCAAAGTCACTTCAATCTCCTTTCATCCCCATTCTGATGCTCAGTTTGAACTGCAGCAGATCGTCTTGACCATGTCTGCATGCCTAAATGCATTGAGTTGCTGCCATGTGATTGGCTGATTAGAAATTTGCATTAACGAGCAGTTGGACAGGTGTACCTAATAAAGTGGCCGGTGAGTGTATATTCATCATTTATATTAAAATTGAAAACAGATCTTTTAAATTTAAATAATGCACTATTATATAATAAAATAATACAAATAACATCAGTAATAATAATTATTATTATATTAATACTAAATTATTATTAATTATATATTAATAATAATTATTCTTATTATTTTACTTATCTGTATTACTTTTTTTTCGTACATTGTGTTCCCCTACTCAGTTCTAAAGCACGTCAGATGTTCTGCTTCATCCACCAGAACATTAGGTTAATGACAGTACCTTGGACAGCGCCAACAAACGGCCTGGGTTAATAACTCAAATCCTCCAGCTTACCACAAACCCTCTCATTGGACTTGCCTGACTCTCAGTGCGCGGGGGTCAAGCTTCCCATTGGTTTCAAACAGAAGATTTGATAGCCATTCAGTCAGAAGGATTTTCAAGCCCATTTAGCTTCAGCACAAAAAAGTCAGTAAGAATCAAGTGACAGTTTCAGGCCATATCACAAATGAGCCCTTTGTATCTTTGTCAGTATTATCAGAGCCATGATAGAGTTCAAATGCACCTTCCTAAGGTGAAGCTGCTTGATACGTTTTTACTTGGCAAAGACACCGAGGTCGAAACTTTCATTTTACCCAACACGTTTTCAAATAATAGGGTGTAATCTCATGAACCTTGCTAAAGCCAACATAAGATACATCTGAAAGGTAATGATATGAAATTCAGCTGATAAGTCACTATTAGGTTGGGGAAAAGAAAAGGCCTTTCTGCTTGATATCTCCACATGATGTTTATAGCTTAGCGTTTTCCAAGAAATTCAGTCAACTAACAAAGAGGTCCAGGGAGAGGACAGACAAACACAAAGCTATTGACGCGTTTAGTCGATTCCTTGAGTATATCACAGGCGCAATTATTTGTGATGAGCAATCTTCACACTAGAATAGGATGGCTAGACAGCTGGGATTGTTTACTGTGTAAAAGGAGAGATAGAGAAGGAGAGAGAGTTTACTAGCTAATAGTTTACTACCTAATAGACCTTTTGCTTTGGCTAAAGAATGGGTTTTATGATGGCACTGAAGAGTCCATATATTTTTAAATGGGTTTAATCTGTTATTGGAATAATTGTATTGAATTAAAGGGTCTGTGAGAGGACAAACCATTTTACGGGTCAAAAAATAAAATGGGGTTTCAAGCTCCAAAACAATAACAGTGTAATACAAGGAGACTATTAAAATGTCTTTTTTTTCTGAGCAAAGAGAGAATGACTATCACACTGTATATTTTACAATGATTTACAGCAACAAAAAAAAAAGTCTATCTTTAATTTATATAGATATTTAAGACAGCGGGCGAGGCAGAGGCGCAGTAGGTAGTGCTGTCGCCTCACAGCAAGAAGGTCGCTGGGTCACTGGTTCGAACTTCGGCTCAGTTGGCGTATCTGTGTGGAGTTTGCATGTTCTCCCTGCCTTCGCGTGGGTTTCCTCCGGGTGCTCCGGTTTCCCCCACAGTCCAAAGACATGCGGTAGAGGTGAATTGGGTAGGCTAAATTGTCCATAGTTTGTGTGGATGTTTCCCAGATTTGGGTTGCGGCTGGAAGGCCATCCGCTGCATAAAAACTTGCTGGATAAGTTGGCGGTTCATTCCTCTGTGGCGACCCTGGATTAATGAAGGGACTAAGCCGACAAGAAAATGAATGAATGAATTTAAGACAGCACAATGGCACAGTGGGTGGCACAATCGCCTCACAGCAAGAAGGTTGCTGGTTCAGTTGGCATTTCTGTGTGGGGTTTGTGTAACCCCACAGGTTCTACACAACCCAACCCGCTCCTAGCTGATATCGAACCGGCGACCTTCTGCATGGGAGTCGGTTTCTCTAACAAGGAGGCTAAAGAACATGGCCTCTAACGTCTGTCGCTAGAGCACCTTTAGAGGTCAGAGGAGTGAGGTTTTACCTGCACAGCACTTACTAGCTGCCCTCTGTTACATTTGCATGTTCTCCCCGTGTTCGCTTGGGTTTCTTCCAGGTGCTCCGGTTTTCCAAACAGTCCGAAAACATGTGGTATAGTCCGTAGCATGTGTATGGGTGTTTCCCAGTGATGAGTTGCAGCTGAAGGGCCATCCGCTGCGTAAAA